TCTATGGTCTCCGTCAGGCACCCCGTCAGTGGCACGACACACTGAGGACGACTCTTGCTGCTCTTGGTTTTGCTCCTTCCACTGCTGACCCGTCGCTGTTTTTAGGCACTGACACCACTCTGCCGTTGTTCTACGTTCTCGTGTACGTAGACGACTTGGTCTTTGCTACTGCTGACATTGAGGCACTCGCCCACGTGAAGTCCGAGCTGCAGAAGAGACACACGTGCATAGACATGGGTGAGCTGACAAGCTATCTTGGCTTGCATATCACACGGGAGAGAGCACAGCGCACCATTACCTTGACTCAGTCACACATGGTGCAGCAGGTCCTTCAGCGCTTCGGCTTCACGTACTCCTCGCCACAGTCCACTCCTCTGCCTACCGGTCACTCGCTCTCAACTCCACCTTCGGACAAGTCCGTAGAGCCGAGTGGCCCGTATCCAGAGCTTGTGGGCTGCCTCATGTACCTGATGACTTGCACACGACCTGACCTCGCATATCCTCTCAGCCTTCTGGCTCGCTACGTGGCTCCCGGTAGGCACCGAAAGGTGCACTGGGATGCTGCGAAGAGGGTGTTGCGCTACTTGTGCAGTACGTCGGGCATGGGGCTCGTGCTTGGAGGACGGGCTTGAGTTGTCCTCACTGGTCACGCAGACGCTTCCTGGGTTGACGACTTGGCTACGCAGCGGTCGTCACAGGGTTACACCTTCGGTCTTGGCTCCGGTTCTGTCTCTTGGCGGTCTACCCGCTCTTCTTCTATTCTCAGCTCCAGTTGTGAGGATGAGATCTATGCTGGGGCCATGGCTGCACAGGAGTTACGCTGGCTCACCTACCTGCTGACCGACTTGGGAGAGGCGCCTCGTTCTCCTCCAGTTCTGTACGTCGACAACAAGGCCATGCTGGCCTTGTGTAAGGAGCACAGACTGGAGCACAGAACAAAGCACATTGCTCTGCGCTACTTCCTTGCTCGAGAGTTGCAGCAGCGTGGTCAGCTCCGTCTTGCTTACATGGCCTCTCAGGCCAACACTGCTGATGTTTTCACCAAGGTACTTCCGCCTTGTGATCATCAGCGTTTCTGTACTGTTCTAGGCCTTGTACCTACTGTGCCTCACTTGCTTACTTCTTGACTCTGCTTGTACTGTACTCTCTATACATATACCTGCATGCTTACACTTGCTAGGTTGTGTTCACTGTATTGTTTGTTCTCCTTTATATAACTCTGCATGTGAACTGGCCTTGTGGCCATTTGCTTGTGCTCAGACTGCGTGGTGACTTTGTGATCCACCCTGAGCTTGCTTTGCCTTTCTTGACTGGTCTTGTGACCTCTTGTTCTCCCCCACTTTGCCTATGGGGGTGTGTCAAACTTATATGTTATAGTCTATCTAGGCTGTAGTGGGGTAGTTCATATAGGGTACAACACTTTTAGGTTTCCTACTTGTACCCACTTGCTTTCTAGTTCAGTCATTCATTCGTTCTATATTCTAACAAAGGTGACGATGGACTTCGTCACGGGGTTACCGGCTGGGGCAAGTGGGAATGACGCGATCCTGGTCGTCGTCGATCGGCTGACGAAAATGGCACATTTCGCAGCCTGCAAGAAATCGATCACAGCCGAAGAAACAGCCCGCCTCTTCATCTCCACCGTCGTTCGACTGCACGGGATACCAGCATCAATCATCAGCGATCACGATACGAAATTCACCAGCAACTTCTGGCGGAACCTGTAGCAGCAGTTCGGCACGCGACTACAGTTCAGTTCTTCATACCACCCCAAGACCGACGGACAGATAGAACGGACAAACCAGACCATGGAACAACTCATCCGAGCCACGTGCGACGACCCCACCACCTGGGAACAGCAACTGCCACTCATCGACTTCGCGTACAACAACTCGCCATCCGCCACGACCTAACAGTCACCATGGACTATGGACAAGATCCCACAGTACCCATGACCCCGAATCCCGACAACCCGGTGCCACGTGCACAACAGTTCGCATAGATTTTACAAGCAGCACGGACCCGAGCAGCAGATGCAAAAAAAAATTCAAACATCATCGCTAAGCGCAACGCCGACCCGTCACTTACCAGCCCGACGACCTCGTGCTACTCGACACTCAAAACCTGCGCTTGCCCATCACCCGAAAACTCCGCCCCCGATATTGCGGGCCATTTCGCATCAGCCACATGATCACACCCGTCACCGCCCACCTCCTCCTCCCTGCTGACTGGTACGTCAGCCCGTCATTCCACGTCAGCCTGCTTCTCCCATACGTGCCATCCACCTGCAAACTTCCCCGCAATCGCCCCGCCAGCATGACACGACCGCCAACAGAGCCAGTCATCACGCCCGAGAAAATCTTTAGCCACCGGGTTCGTGACCCACAGAGAGCCTGCAGGATCGAATTTCTGATCTGCTGGAAAGACCGCACGCCCACTGAAGACAACTAGGTTCCCCTGTACAGAATTGAAAACCCCCCCGTCCTCACCGAGTACCTGCGCAGCCGCAATTTTCGGGACGTACACGCGCTTTCGTAAGAAGGGCCTCCTTGGGGGGGGGAGGGGGGGGGGGGGGGGGGGGGGGGTGGGGGTGTGTAAGGAAAATTCCTTTTCCCTACTTCGCGTCCCTGCTCAGCACGTACACTACAGAGAGTCACTACACAACGGGAGTGGATTACAGCGGAAGGCACGGGGCTGTGCGGGTGATCGTAGCGTTGTATTAGGCGTTCTCACTACTTGCTGTGTTCATACGGACATTTGGCAAGAGTTTCACCAAGAATCGAGAGAACATTAGATTACAAATGAGGCATGCAAGTCGATATAGGTAGAATGGCATTGCAACACCTAGCAAGCCCTCTGCACGGCGAACTATGCCAGCGCAGCAGAAGAGCGGCTTGCCAACACTGCAGCAGAGTAGTCTATCAGCATTGCATCGCAACGGTCTGCCAGCGCTGCAGAGGCAGGTGAACTTCTGCGCATGTGTGCACCTACCAAGTAGGTGCAGGTAGACGGTCGCGCCGCCAGGCACATTGCACAGGTGTCAGATAGAACGCGTGTCGACGGTTTTGCCAGCGGTGCACCGTCAAGCACGTGATGCCGTTCCGCAGGTCGACTTCGCGAAAATCTCCAGAGGCGAAGTTCGCGCACATCTGCGACCTTCGCAGGTGAGAAGCTTCGGTTGGGTGATTCGACGCTGCTCCGTCGAGCAGCCTTCGCTGAGACGAGCCCGCCGAACTGCACTTGTCAACCAATCTCGTCGAGGAGCTCCTCTACCGGCCTTGTATAGGAGCTCCTATAACGCCCTCGTCGAGGAGCTCCTATACCGAACTCCTCGACGGGCTCGTCGACCAGCATCCTCTACGAGCTCGTCGACCGCGTCCTCTGCGAGCTCGTCGACCGCGTCCTCTGCGAACCCGTCGACCGCGTCTTCTGCGGACGCGTCGAGGTCGAACTATACAGACATGTCAAGGTCGAACTCTGCGCGCAGTCTGCTACGACTTCTGCGCGCCCCCCGACTGCGAAGTCTCATTCGCCCAAGCGAGGGTGGGGTCAATTCCCGTCAACATACACCACTATTCCCGCCAACAGCACCCAACAGTACACCGTTACCACTCACCTCGACTACTGTTCCCGCCACTGTGCACGACGCGACCCAACCTCACGGTTCGGTTGGTAACTCGCGCTCCGGACCTCCGCATCGACAATTCCCAACCTCGGCGCTAGGCCCGTCGCGCACCCCATTTTCATGCATTACCGTAACCACTGTAGCTTTGCTATATATTCTTCGCTCATGCCTTCTCTCATTGTATTATTTGCTTCGATAGTGCAATTCTCGCTCGCTCGCTCAATTGCACTCGTAACAGCCTCCCATATAATCGTAGGATTGTATACGGTAATAGCAATAGTATTCTCTACCTTGATGCATTTTCAGAGAACTCAGTTTAAGGATGATGAAATTCATATTGACTGAAAATCGGAGTCGGATCCCCTTCATTAGTTATTCCACACCACAAACATTAGTATATCTTATAGCACTATATGAGGGTTGGCAGAATAGATTGGCCTTCGAGCTGTAAAACCACGCTAGAATGTTTGAATACCCAAACGCACCGAACTGTAACGCCTGATCACGTCTGCGAACATCAAGGTATCCATTGTCCAACCGGGAGTACCCGAGGCGTATTCGGCACACTTACATATGAATAGAATCTATCAGCTGTGTTTCTAATCACAGCACATTGACTGAAACAAGCAGACATAGGAATACACTTATGGAGCATCTCCGTACGAGAGATTCAAGGAATTCGAAAGTCTCGAAGACGCCAAACACGCCTCAGGTCGGGTCGAGTGTGGGAGGTACACGTCAGGTTCAATGAGTACTGACAATCGCTTTTCGTGAACGCGGCTTTTCAAACCAAACCGCAGAACCCAAGAAATGAGGGTCCCAAGGACGGAAATCCCTAAGCAAAAGCTCTTTGGAGGGAAGGGCGGGAGCAATTGAAATGAGCATCAGGAACGTAGGCTCGCCAGGAAACATAGAATGCTTCGGAGAAACCTAGAATGCATGTAGAAACCTAGGATTCTCGGGAAAGCTAGAATGCTCGTGGAACTTAGAAGTCTAATCAAGTAGGTCGTTTCGCCGAGGTAGTTGAGCGGGCGTGACAATGGCGAAGGACGATGTGGCTTTGGAAGTGGAGCTCGGGCAGCTTCGAATAAAAAACTCTGACCTTCGTTGCAAGGTCGACCGTTTGCAGACCGAGTTACGAGCCGCGAAAGACCACGCAGCGGCAGTCACCGCGGAGCTCGATACGTGGAAGAAGCAGATCATTTCCCGCGCGGAGGCGGAAAACCTGCGCGCGGAGGCGGAAAAATGGAAAGCGCGCGCGGAAGCTTCCGCGCGGGGTTTCCCGGGGCCCCGGGGAAGTGGCGGCGCGGGAAAAGAGCTGGAAGAAAAAATAACGGCTTTAGAAGTGGAGTTAGGAAAGTATAAATTCAAAAACATGGACCTTCAGAATAAAGTCGAGAAACTCTCTAAGGAGATTACGAAACGACCGTCTGCTGGCGACGCGGGAAAGTTGTCACCAGGCTCGGCGGCGGGAAACGCGCAGGCGAAGGCGGGAAACGCGCAGGAAACGGCGGGTTTGACAGGGAAGGCGCTTTATCTGAGTCGCCTCAGGAGCGGAGCGCTGTCATCGTCCCGAGGTTCCGCCGCAACAGGCGCTCCTAGCGGGAAAGGCGCTTCTAGCGGGAAAGGCGCCTCCTTTAGCGTGGCAGGCGCTCATAGCGGGACAGTCGCGCATAGCTGGACAGCCGCTCATAGCGGGACAGGTGCTACTAACGGGACAGGCGCTCATAGCGCGTCCATGGGCGGAAGGGGGATTGGCGGCGGGTCTGGCTGGCGTGCGCGGGGTAAGGCGGAGTCGGATGGCGCTTTGGCGGGGGAGGGGGAGGAGAGGCGGAAAGATGGGGCGGATGAGCGGCGGAGGGAGGGGGCGGAGGTGACGCAGCGAGTAGAGGAGGAGGAGGAGAATGTACGGCTGAGATCTTCCCTCGAGGAGCCTGAGAAAGGCAAGGATCCTAAAGAAATCTCTCAGGAGTCGTCAAAGGCAGAGGCCTGCATGGAAGAAGCAAAGGAAGCCCCGAAAGAAGATTCAGTGAAAGAACTGAAGGAAGAGTTGAAGGGAGATTGCAAGGAAGAATTGAATTCTGAGTCGATTACAGGTGTTTCTCAGGACAGCGCGAAAGTGGTGGAGGGGGAGAAGGACAGTTATGAGGAGTACAGAGGGTCATCTATTAAGGGGGATGAGGAGTTTTCGACTGGCGTTGAGTCTGCTAATGCTGTACAATCTGTTAATGGGAAGTCTTCTAAAGGGGCTGAGTTCACTAACGGAGTTGAGTCTACTAACGGGATTGAGTTCGCTAACGGGGTTGTGTCTACTAACGGGGCTGCTAACGAGGTTGAGAAGACTACTAACGGGGTTGAGTCTTCTAACGGGGATGAGCCTACCGGGGTGAATTCAGAGATGGAGTGTACAGATGGAATAGCAGCAGCGAAGCACGATAGCCTTGGAAATGGGGAAAAATCGCACAGCGAGCGTACTGAAGAGCAGCTAGGCGAGCAGCAAGGGGACCGGCAGCACGGGGACCGGCAGCACGGAGAGCATACGGAAGAACAGCAAGGGGACCGGCAGCACGGGGAGCGTCCGGAAGAGCAGGAAAAGGCACGAATTGAGGGCAATTGCGAGGAGAGGCCGGAAGCAGGAGTGGCAACGGGGGGAGATGAGGTGGAGGGAGGAAACTTGGGAGAGAGTTGGGAAGGAGGTGGCGAGGCAGGGAAACGGAGTTTGGTAAGTAGTGAGGAAGAGGGGGGGGAAGATAAGGGGGGAGACAAGGGGGGAGATACGGGGGAGCAGGGGGAAGAGGAGGACAGTACAAGAGCTTGTAGCGAGTCAGCAGTATCCATTGAGATATCAGCTTGTAAGGAGGACGGGGAGCAGATGCGTGCAGAAGAAGGTGCGCATAGCGGAAAGCAGCAAGCGGAGCGGCTAGAACGAGTGGCGTCATCACTAACTGGAGCAGCTAATAACGAGGATAAGTTGCTCCACGGACAGCTGTCAAGTTCCTCCTTGGGTTCATCCTTTGGATCTGAACCTCCCAGCCCATCCTCCTTCATTTCCAAGCCTCTCTTTAAGAAACTGCCTCCTGCTATAGCGAGTACAGAAGGGCGGGCTCAGCGATTGAACGTACACACTGTAGAGGACAGCGAGCCTTCTCCTAAGGGGACTCCGAGGCAGCTTGTAAGGGGTACAGGTGCGGCAGAGGAAGGGGGGGTCAGGGGGGAGGAAGCTAGAGGGCTCATCCGGGGTGGATGGTTGGAGCTAGGGAGAAGGCGAGAGGAGGCTGAGAGAGGACTGAGAGAAGCCTTGAGGGCGAGAGAAGAGGCAGAGAGAGGGAAGCAAGGAGCAGAGAGGAAACGGAAGGAAGCAGAAGAGAGAATGGTTAGGGCTTTACTGGAACGGGATGAAGCAGAGAGAAGGAGAGAGGAGGCTGAAGGGAGGTTGGGGGAAGTGGAAGGGTTGTGGAGGGAGAGTGAGAGGGGGAGAGAGATGGAGGGGAGGAGGAGGGAGGAGGTTGAAAGGGAGTTGGAGGAGGAGAGGAGGAGGAGGGAGGAGGCGGAGAAGGGGAGGGAGGAGGCAGAGAGGAGGAGGGATGAGGGTAAGGGGGAGAGGGAGGAGGCTGTGAGGAGGGCGAGGGATGTGGAGAAAGAGGGGGAGAGAGTGAGGGAGGAGGTGGAGAGAGAAAGGGGAGAAATGGAAGGGAGGTTAGTAGCAGCAAGTAAAGCAGTGAGGGAAGCTGAGGCGAAGAGAGACGAAGCTGTAAAGACAATGGAGGAGGCTTATAACGGGGAAAAAGCAGCCCTTGGGCTGAGAGACCAGGCGGTATATGAGAGGGAGGAGATGGCGAGGGAAAGGGATGAGGCCGAAAGGAGGAGGGTGGAGGAGGAATCGAGGAGGAGGATTGCAGAGGAAGAGTGTGAGGAGGCATGGAGGAGGAGAGAGGTTGCTGAGAGTGCGATAGAAGAGGCGGTAGGAGCAGCAGAGGGAGCAGAGAGAGGGAGGAGGGAAGCGGAGAGGGTGAGAGAGGCTGCAGTAAGAGAGAAGGTTGAAGCTGAGAGGGCAATGGAAGGGGCTTTAAGGGAGAGGGATATGGCGTTGCTGAAGGTTGAGGAAGCTGCCAAGAAGGTTCTGGATGCCGAGCGGATGAGGATTGAGGCTAAGCGAGTGTGGGAAGATTCGGATAAGATTCGGGCAGAAGCGGAAACTGCGCAGGCTGAGGCTGAGAAAGCTCGGGCAGCTGCGGAAAAGTTTAAGGCCGAATCGGAGCTGGTTCGGGCAGCTGCGGAAATGGCAAAAGGGGAAGCTGAGGCCATGAAACGTGAGGTGGAAATTTTGCGGGCGGAAACGGCAGCGGCTTTGGCTGCCCAGGAAGAGGAACGGGCGAAAAAGATTGGACTGGAGGGGAAAATCGAAAATTTAATGCTGACCGTGGAAGCGCACAAAAGGGCAGGAGGGGGAAGGTTAAGTGAAGGGGAGGAAGGGGAGAGAGTGAGGGAGGCAAGGAAGAGAATGGAGGAAGCAGAGAACGTGGCACATGATTTGAGGGTGTGGGGCAGGCAACTGCAAGCTGAGTTGCTTAAAGGGGAGGAGGAGAGGAGGGGCCTTGAAGAAAGCTGTAGGAAGGTGGAAGGGCGAGTGAGGGATGTGCTGAGAGTGAGGGAGGAAGCGGACAGGGGGAGGGAGAGGGCGGAGAGAGAAAGGGACGAGGTGATTGGGAGGATGAAGGAGGTACAAGGAGAAGTGTTGAGGCTGAGAAGGGAGGTGAAACGGCTGATGGGAGAGGAGGTGGGAGAGGAGAACGAGGAGGAGGAGGGAAAGGGAGGTAATGATGAATCGAGTCTTGAAACAGCTTTGACTGCAGATTCTCCTGTATCAAAGGGAACCACAAAGGGGACAGTAGGTGAGGAGCACACTGCAGGGGAGGAAACATCAGAGGGATGCTCTGAAAGGGTTAGAGACGGTCGAAAGCAACCGATAGGGCTGAGCTCGATCGAAGTGAGTAGCAGCGAACGGGACGGGCCGAAGCAGAAGGAGCAGGAGCGGCAGCAGGGGCAGCAGGAAGAGAAGGAGCTGGGGCGGGGGACACACAAGGAGATGAGTGAGGGAGAGGAGGACGAGCAGGTGAAGGAGGTTTTAACCGTGTATGAAGGGCACAGGGAACAGCGCAAAGCAGCAGAGAATCGAGAGGCTGAGGCTCACGGAGAGTTGTTGCAGCGGCGTGGGTTGATGGCGACAGGGGGACAGGAGGAGGAGGAGAGGCTAGGGGAGGAGGCGGAGAGGGTTATACAGGAACTGGAGAATGCTCTTAGCGAGTCGGAGAGGAGGAGAGTGAGTGCGGAGCATGAGAGGGATGTTGCAGCAAGGGAGAGGGATGTAGCAGAGAGGGACAGGGACGTAGCAGAGAGGCGGCTGGTTGAGAGAGAGAGGGAGAGGGAAGAAAGAGAGGGGGAGAGGGAGGAAAGAGAGAGGGATAGGGAGGAGACGCGGTTACAGGCGGAGAAGTGCAGAGAGGAGGCTGAAAGGGAGACGGCAGAAGCAGAGAAGAGAAGGGAAGAAGCGGAGAGGGCATGGAGTGAGGCTGAGCAGAAGAGAAAGGAGGCTGAGGCAGCGAAATGCGAGGCGGAGAAAGAGAGGGAGGAAGCGGAGAAGGCAAGGAGTGAGGCTGAGCAGAAGAGGGAGGAAGCGGAGAAGGCAAGGAGTGAGGCTGAGCAGAAGAGGGAGGAAGCGGAGAAGGCAAGGAGTGAGGCTGAGCAGAAGAGAGAGGAGGCTGAGGCAGCGAAACGCGAGGCGGAGAAAGAGAGGGAGGAAGCGGAGAAGGCAACGAGTGAGGCTGAGCAGAAGAGAGAGGAGGCTGAGGCGACGAAATGCGAGGCGGAGAAAGGGAGGGAGGAAGTGGAGAAGGCAAGGAGTGAGGCTGAGCAGGAGAGAGAGGAGGCTGAGGCAGCGAAATGTGAGGCAGTGAAAGAGAGGGAGGAAGCGGAGAAGGCAAGGAGTGAGGCAGAGCAGAAGAGAGAGGAGGCTGAGGCAGCGAAATGCGAGGCGGAGAAAGAGAGGGAGGAAGCGGAGAAGGCAAGGAGTGAGGCTGAGCAGAAGAGAGAGGAGGCTGAGGCAGCGAAATGCGAGGCGGAGAAAGAGAGGGAGGAAGCGGAGAAGGCAAGGAGTGAGGCTGAGCAGAAGAGAGAGGAGGCTGAGGCAGCGAAATGTGAGGCGGAGAAAGAGAGGGAGGAAGCGGAGAAGGCAAGGAGTGAGGCTGAGCAGAAGAGAGAGGAGGCTGAGGCAGTGAAATGCGAGGCGGAGAAAGAGAGGGAGGAAGCGGAGAAGGCAAGGAGTGAGGCTGAGCAGAAGAGAGAGGAGGCTGAGGCAGCGAAATGCGAGGCGGAGAAAGAGAGGGAGGAAGCGGAGAAGGCAAGCAGTGAGGCTGAGCAGAAGAGAGAGGAAGCGGAGAAGGCAAGGAGTGAGGCTGAGCAGAAGAGAGAGGAGGCTGAGGCAGCGAAATGCGAGGCGGAGAAAGAGAGGGAGGAAGCGGAGAAGGCAAGGAGTGAAGCTGAGCAGAAGAGAGAGGAGGCTGAGGCAGCGAAATGCGAGGCGGAGAAAGAGAGGGAGGAAGCGGAGAAGGCAAGGAGTGAGGCTGAGCAGAAGAGAGAGGAGGCTGAGGCAGCGAAATGCGAGGCGGAGAAAGAGAGGGAGGAAGAAGAGAAGGCAAGGAGTGAGGCTGAGCAGAAGAGAGAGGAGGCTGAGGCAGCGAAATGTGAGGCGGAGAAAGAGAGGGAGGAAGCGGAGAAGGCAAGGAGTGAGGCTGAGCAGAAGAGAGAGGAGGCTGAGGCAGTGAAATGCGAGGCGGAGAAAGAGAGGGAGGAAGCGGAGAAGGCAAGGAGTGAGGCTGAGCAGAAGAGAGAGGAGGCTGAGGCAGCGAAATGCGAGGCGGAGAAAGAGAGGGAGGAAGCGGAGAAGGCAAGGAGTGAGGCTGAGCAGAAGAGAGAGGAGGCTGAGGCAGCGAAATGCGAGGCGGAGAAAGAGAGGGAGGAAGCGGAGAAGGCAAGGAGTGAGGCTGAGCAGAAGAGAGAGGAGGCTGAGGCAGCGAAATGCGAGGCGGAGAAAGAGAGGGAGGAAGCGGAGAAGGCAAGGAGTGAGGCTGAGCAGGAGAGAGAGGAGGCTGAGGCAGCGAAATGCGAGGCGGAGAAAGAGAGGGAGGAAGCGGAGAAGGCAAGGAGTGAGGCTGAGCAGAAGAGAGAGGAGGCTGAGGCGACGAAATGCGAGGCGGAGAAAGGGAGGGAGGAAGTGGAGAAGGCAAGGAGTGAGGCTGAGAAGGAGAGAGAGGAGGCTGAGGCAGCGAAATGTGAGGCAGTGAAAGAGAGGGAGGAAGCGGAGAAGGCAAGGAGTGAGGCTGAGCAGAAGAGAGAGGAGGCTGAGGCAGCGAAATGCGAGGCGGAGAAAGAGAGGGAGGAAGCGGAGAAGGCAAGGAGTGAGGCTGAGCAGAAGAGGGAGGAGGCTGAGGCAGCGAAATGCGAGGCGGAGAAAGAGAGGGAGGAAGCGGAGAAGGCAAGGAGTGAGGCTGAGCAGAAGAGAGAGGAGGCTGAGGCAGCGAAATGCGAGGCGGAGAAAGAGAGGGAGGAAGCGGAGAAGGCAAGGAGTGAGGCTGAGCAGAAGAGAGAGGAAGCGGAGAAGGCAAGGAGTGAGGCTGAGCAGAAGAGAGAGGAGGCTGAGGCAGCGAAATGCGAGGCGGAGAAAGAGAGGGAGGAAGCGGAGAAGGCAAGGAGTGAGGCTGAGCAGAAGAGAGAGGAGGCTGAGGCAGCGAAATGCGATGCGGAGAAAGAGAGGGAGGAAGCGGAGAAGGCAAGGAGTGAGGCTCAGCAGAAGAGAGAGGAGGCTGAGGCGACGAAATGCGACGCGGAGAAAGAAAGGCAGGAAGCGGAGAAGGTAAGGAGTGAGGCTGAGCAGGAGAGAGAGGAGGCTGAGGCAGCGAAATGTGAGGCAGTGAAAGAGAGGGGGGAAGCGGAGAAGGCAAGGAGTGAGGCTGAGCAGGAGAGAGAGGAGGCTGAGGCAGCGAAATGTGAGGCAGTGAAAGAGAGGGAGGAAGCGGAGAAGGCAAGGAGTGAGGCTGAGCAGAAGAGAGAGGAGGCTGAGGCAGCGAAATGCGAGGCGGAGAAAGAGAGGGAGGAAGCGGAGAAGGCAAGGAGTGAGGCTGAGCAGAAGAGAGAGGAAGCGGAGAAGGCAAGGAGTGAGGCTGAGCAGAAGAGAGAGGAGGCTGAGGCAGCGAAATGCGAGGCGGAGAAAGAGAGGGAGGAAGCGGAGAAGGCAAGGAGTGAGGCTGAGCAGAAGAGAGAGGAAGCGGAGAAGGCAAGGAGTGAGGCTGAGCAGAAGAGAGAGGAGGCTGAGGCAGCGAAATGCGAGGCGGAGAAAGAGAGGGAGGAAGCGGAGAAGGCAAGGAGTGAGGCTGAGCAGAAGAGAGAGGAGGCTGAGGCAGCGAAATGCGAGGCGGAGAAAGAGAGGGAGGAAGCGGAGAAGGCAAGGAGTGAGGCTGAGCAGAAGAGAGAGGAAGCGGAGAAGGCAAGGAGTGAGGCTGAGCAGAAGAGAGAGGAGGCTGAGGCAGCGAAATGCGAGGCGGAGAAAGAGAGGGAGGAAGCGGAGAAGGCAAGGAGTGAGGCTGAGCAGAAGAGAGAGGAAGCGGAGAAGGCAAGGAGTGAGGCTGAGCAGAAGAGAGAGGAGGCTGAGGCAGCGAAATGCGAGGCGGAGAAAGAGAGGGAGGAAGCGGAGAAGGCAAGGAGTGAGGCTGAGCAGAAGAGAGAGGAGGCTGAGGCAGCGAAATGCGAGGCGGAGAAAGAGAGGGAGGAAGCGGAGAAGGCAAGGAGTGAGGCTGAGCAGAAGAGAGAGGAGGCTGAGGCAGCGAAATGCGAGGCGGAGAAAGAGAGGGAGGAAGCGGAGAAGGCAAGCAGTGAGGCTGAGCAGAAGAGAGAGGAGGCTGAGGTGGCGAAATGCGAGGCGGAGAAAGGGAGGGAGGAAGTCGAGAAGGCAAGGAGTGAGGCTGAACAGGAGAGAGAGGAGGCTGAGGCAGCGAAATGTGAGGCAGTGAAAGAGAGGGAGGAAGCGGAGAAGGCAAGGAGTGAGGCTGAGCAGAAGAGAGAGGAGGCTGAGGCAGTGAAATTCGAGGCGGAGAAAGAGAGGGAGGAAGCGGAGAAGGCAAGGAGTGAGGCTGAGCAGAAGAGAGAGGAGGCTGAGGCAGCGAAATGCGAGGCGGAGAAAGAGAGGGAGGAAGCGGAGAAGGCAAGGAGTGAGGCTGAGCAGAAGAGAGAGGAAGCGGAGAAGGCAAGGAGTGAGGCTGAGCAGAAGAGAGAGGAGGCTGAGGCAGCGAAATGCGAGGCGGAGAAAGAGAGGGAGGAAGCGGAGAAGGCAAGGAGTGAGGCTGAGCAGAAGAGAGAGGAGGCTGAGGCAGCGAAATGCGAGGCGGAGAAAGAGAGGGAGGAAGCAGAGAAGGCAAGGAGTGAGGCTGAGCAGAAGAGAGAGGAGGCTGAGGCAGCGAAATGCGAGGCGGAGAAAGAGAGGGAGGAAGCAGAGAAGGCAAGGAGTGAGGCTGAGCAGAAGAGAGAGGAGGCTGAGGCAGCGAAATGCGAGGCGGAGAAAGAGAGGGAGGAAGCGGAGAAGGCAAGGAGTGAGGCTGAGCAGAAGAGAGAGGAGGCTGAGGCAGCGAAATGCGAGGCGGAGAAAGAGAGGGAGGAAGCGGAGAAGGCAAGGAGTGAGGCTGAGCAGAAGAGAGAGGAGGCTGAGGCAGCGAAATGTGAGGCGGAGAAAGAGAGGGAGGAAGCGGAGAAGGCAAGGAGTGAGGCTGAGCAGAAGAGAGAGGAGGCTGAGGCAGTGAAATGCGAGGCGGAGAAAGAGAGGGAGGAAGCGGAGAAGGCAAGGAGTGAGGCTGAGCAGAAGAGAGAGGAGGCTGAGGCAGCGAAATGCGAGGCGGAGAAAGAGAGGGAGGAAGCGGAGAAGGCAAGGAGTGAGGCTGAGCAGAAGAGAGAGGAAGCGGAGAAGGCAAGGAGTGAGGCTGAGCAGAAGAGAGAGGAGGCTGAGGCAGCGAAATGCGAGGCGGAGAAAGAGAGGGAGGAAGCGGAGAAGGCAAGGAGTGAAGCTGAGCAGAAGAGAGAGGAGGCTGAGGCAGCGAAATGCGAGGCGGAGAAAGAGAGGGAGGAAGCGGAGAAGGCAAGGAGTGAGGCTGAGCAGAAGAGAGAGGAGGCTGAGGCAGCGAAATGCGAGGCGGAGAAAGAGAGGGAGGAAGAAGAGAAGGCAAGGAGTGAGGCTGAGCAGAAGAGAGAGGAGGCTGAGGCAGCGAAATGTGAGGCGGAGAAAGAGAGGGAGGAAGCGGAGAAGGCAAGGAGTGAGGCTGAGCAGAAGAGAGAGGAGGCTGAGGCAGTGAAATGCGAGGCGGAGAAAGAGAGGGAGGAAGCGGAGAAGGCAAGGAGTGAGGCTGAGCAGAAGAGAGAGGAGGCTGAGGCAGCGAAATGCGAGGCGGAGAAAGAGAGGGAGGAAGCGGAGAAGGCAAGGAGTGAGGCTGAGCAGAAGAGAGAGGAAGCGGAGAAGGCAAGGAGTGAGGCTGAGCAGAAGAGAGAGGAGGCTGAGGCAGCGAAATGCGAGGCGGAGAAAGAGAGGGAGGAAGCGGAGAAGGCAAGGAGTGAGGCTGAGCAGAAGAGAGAGGAGGCTGAGGCAGCGAAATGCGAGGCGGAGAAAGAGAGGGAGGAAGCGGAGAAGGCAAGGAGTGAGGCTGAGCAGGAGAGAGAGGAGGCTGAGGCAGCGAAATGCGAGGCGGAGAAAGAGAGGGAGGAAGCGGAGAAGGCAAGGAGTGAGGCTGAGCAGAAGAGAGAGGAGGCTGAGGCGACGAAATGCGAGGCGGAGAAAGGGAGGGAGGAAGTGGAGAAGGCAAGGAGTGAGGCTGAGAAGGAGAGAGAGGAGGCTGAGGCAGCGAAATGTGAGGCAGTGAAAGAGAGGGAGGAAGCGGAGAAGGCAAGGAGTGAGGCTGAGCAGAAGAGAGAGGAGGCTGAGGCAGCGAAATGCGAGGCGGAGAAAGAGAGGGAGGAAGCGGAGAAGGCAAGGAGTGAGGCTGAGCAGAAGAGGGAGGAGGCTGAGGCAGCGAAATGCGAGGCGGAGAAAGAGAGGGAGGAAGCGGAGAAGGCAAGGAGTGAGGCTGAGCAGAAGAGAGAGGAGGCTGAGGCAGCGAAATGCGAGGCGGAGAAAGAGAGGGAGGAAGCGGAGAAGGCAAGGAGTGAGGCTGAGCAGAAGAGAGAGGAAGCGGAGAAGGCAAGGAGTGAGGCTGAGCAGAAGAGAGAGGAGGCTGAGGCAGCGAAATGCGAGGCGGAGAAAGAGAGGGAGGAAGCGGAGAAGGCAAGGAGTGAGGCTGAGCAGAAGAGAGAGGAGGCTGAGGCAGCGAAATGCGAGGCGGAGAAAGAGAGGGAGGAAGCGGAGAAGGCAAGCAGTGAGGCTGAGCAGAAGAGAGAGGAAGCGGAGAAGGCAAGGAGTGAGGCTGAGCAGAAGAGAGAGGAGGCTGAGGCAGCGAAATGCGAGGCGGAGAAAGAGAGGGAGGAAGCGGAGAAGGCAAGGAGTGAAGCTGAGCAGAAGAGAGAGGAGGCTGAGGCAGCGAAATGCGAGGCGGAGAAAGAGAGGGAGGAAGCGGAGAAGGCAAGGAGTGAGGCTGAGCAGAAGAGAGAGGAGGCTGAGGCAGCGAAATGCGAGGCGGAGAAAGAGAGGGAGGAAGAAGAGAAGGCAAGGAGTGAGGCTGAGCAGAAGAGAGAGGAGGCTGAGGCAGCGAAATGTGAGGCGGAGAAAGAGAGGGAGGAAGCGGAGAAGGCAAGGAGTGAGGCTGAGCAGAAGAGAGAGGAGGCTGAGGCAGTGAAATGCGAGGCGGAGAAAGAGAGGGAGGAAGCGGAGAAGGCAAGGAGTGAGGCTGAGCAGAAGAGAGAGGAGGCTGAGGCAGCGAAATGCGAGGCGGAGAAAGAGAGGGAGGAAGCGGAGAAGGCAAGGAGTGAGGCTGAGCAGAAGAGAGAGGAAGCGGAGAAGGCAAGGAGTGAGGCTGAGCAGAAGAGAGAGGAGGCTGAGGCAGCGAAATGCGAGGCGGAGAAAGAGAGGGAGGAAGCGGAGAAGGCAAGGAGTGAGGCTGAGCAGAAGAGAGAGGAGGCTGAGGCAGCGAAATGCGAGGCGGAGAAAGAGAGGGAGGAAGCGGAGAAGGCAAGGAGTGAGGCTGAGCAGGAGAGAGAGGAGGCTGAGGCAGCGAAATGCGAGGCGGAGAAAGAGAGGGAGGAAGCGGAGAAGGCAAGGAGTGAGGCTGAGCAGAAGAGAGAGGAGGCTGAGGCGACGAAATGCGAGGCGGAGAAAGGGAGGGAGGAAGTGGAGAAGGCAAGGAGTGAGGCTGAGAAGGAGAGAGAGGAGGCTGAGGCAGCGAAATGTGAGGCAGTGAAAGAGAGGGAGGAAGCGGAGAAGGCAAGGAGTGAGGCTGAGCAGAAGAGAGAGGAGGCTGAGGCAGCGAAATGCGAGGCGGAGAAAGAGAGGGAGGAAGCGGAGAAGGCAAGGAGTGAGGCTGAGCAGAAGAGGGAGGAGGCTGAGGCAGCGAAATGCGAGGCGGAGAAAGAGAGGGAGGAAGCGGAGAAGGCAAGGAGTGAGGCTGAGCAGAAGAGAGAGGAGGCTGAGGCAGCGAAATGCGAGGCGGAGAAAGAGAGGGAGGAAGCGGAGAAGGCAAGGAGTGAGGCTGAGCAGAAGAGAGAGGAAGCGGAGAAGGCAAGGAGTGAGGCTGAGCAGAAGAGAGAGGAGGCTGAGGCAGCGAAATGCGAGGCGGAGAAAGAGAGGGAGGAAGCGGAGAAGGCAAGGAGTGAGGCTGAGCAGAAGAGAGAGGAGGCTGAGGCAGCGAAATGCGATGCGGAGAAAGAGAGGGAGGAAGCGGAGAAGGGAAGGAGTGAGGCTCAGCAGAAGAGAGAGGAGGCTGAGGCGACGAAATGCGACGCGGAGAAAGAAAGGCAGGAAGCGGAGAAGGTAAGGAGTGAGGCTGAGCAGGAGAGAGAGGAGGCTGAGGCAGCGAAATGTGAGGCAGTGAAAGAGAGGGAGGAAGCGGAGAAGGCAAGGAGTGAGGCTGAGCAGGAGAGAGAGGAGGCTGAGGCAGCGAAATGTGAGGCAGTGAAAGAGAGGGAGGAAGCGGAGAAGGCAAGGAGTGAGGCTGAGCAGAAGAGAGAGGAGGCTGAGGCAGCGAAATGCGAGGCGGAGAAAGAGAGGGAGGAAGCGGAGAAGGCAAGCAGTGAGGCTGAGCAGAAGAGAGAGGAAGCGGAGAAGGCAAGGAGTGAGGCTGAGCAGAAGAGAGAGGAGGCTGAGGCAGCGAAATGCGAGGCGGAGAAAGAGAGGGAGGAAGCGGAGAAGGCAAGGAGTGAGGCTGAGCAGAAGAGAGAGGAGGCTGAGGCAGCGAAATGCGAGGCGGAGAAAGAGAGGGAGGAAGCGGAGAAGGCAAGCAGTGAGGCTGAGCAGAAGAGAGAGGAGGCTGAGGTGGCGAAATGCGAGGCGGAGAAAGGGAGGGAGGAAGTCGAGAAGGCAAGGAGTGAGGCTGAACAGGAGAGAGAGGAGGCTGAGGCAGCGAAATGTGAGGCAGTGAAAGAGAGGGAGGAAGCGGAGAAGGCAAGGAGTGAGGCTGAGCAGAAGAGAGAGGAGGCTGAGGCAGTGAAATTCGAGGCGGAGAAAGAGAGGGAGGAAGCGGAGAAGGCAAGGAGTGAGGCTGAGCAGAAGAGAGAGGAGGCTGAGGCAGCGAAATGCGAGGCGGAGAAAGAGAGGGAGGAAGCGGAGAAGGCAAGGAGTGAGGCTGAGCAGAAGAGAGAGGAAGCGGAGAAGGCAAGGAGTGAGGCTGAGCAGAAGAGAGAGGAGGCTGAGGCAGCGAAATGCGAGGCGGAGAAAGAGAGGGAGGAAGCGGAGAAGGCAAGGAGTGAGGCTGAGCAGAAGAGAGAGGAGGCTGAGGCAGCGAAATGCGAGGCGGAGAAAGAGAGGGAGGAAGCAGAGAAGGCAAGGAGTGAGGCTGAGCAGAAGAGAGAGGAGGCTGAGGCAGCGAAATGTGAGGCAGTGAAAGAGAGGGAGGAAGCGGAGAAGGCAAGGAGTGAGGCTGAGCAGAAGAGAGAGGAGGCTGAGGCAGTGAAATTCGAGGCGGAGAAAGAGAGGGAGGAAGCGGAGAAGGCAAGGAGTGAGGCTGAGCAGAAGAGAGAGGAGGCTGAGGCAGCGAAATGCGAGGCGGAGAAAGAGAGGGAGGAAGCGGAGAAGGCAAGGAGTGAGGCTGAGCAGAAGAGAGAGGAAGCGGAGAAGGCAAGGAGTGAGGCTGAGCAGAAGAGAGAGGAGGCTGAGGCAGCGAAATGCGAGGCGGAGAAAGAGAGGGAGGAAGCGGAGAAGGCAAGGAGTGAGGCTGAGCAGAAGAGAGAGGAGGCTGAGGCAGCGAAATGCGAGGCGGAGAAAGAGAGGGAGGAAGCGGAGAAGGCAAGGAGTGAGGCTGAGCAGAAGAGAGAGGAAGCGGAGAAGGCAAGGAGTGAGGCTGAGCAGAAGAGAGAGGAGGCTGAGGCGACGAAATGCGAGGCGGAGAAAGGGAGGGAGGAAGCAGAGAAGGCAAGGAGTGAGGCTGAGCAGAAGAGAGAGGAGGCTGAGGCAGCGAAATGCGAGGCGGAGAAAGAGAGGGAGGAAGCGGAGAAGGCAAGGAGTGAGGCTGAGCAGAAGAGAGCGGAGGCTGAGGCAGCGAAATGTGAGGCAGTGAAAGAGAGGGAGGAAGCGGAGAAGGCAAGGAGTGAGGCTGAGCAGAAGAGAGAGGAGGCTGAGGCAGTGAAATTCGAGGCGGAGAAAGAGAGGGAGGAAGCGGAGAAGGCAAGGAGTGAGGCTGAGCAGAAGAGAGAGGAGGCTGAGGCAGCGAAATGCGAGGCGGAGAAAGAGAGGGAGGAAGCGGAGAAGGCAAGGAGTGAGGCTGAGCAGAAGAGAGAGGAAGCGGAGAAGGCAAGGAGTGAGGCTGAGCAGAAGAGAGAGGAGGCTGAGGCAGCGAAATGCGAGGCGGAGAAAGAGAGGGAGGAAGCGGAGAAGGCAAGGAGTGAGGCTGAGCAGAAGAGAGAGGAGGCTGAGGCAGCGAAATGCGAGGCGGAGAAAGAGAGGGAGGAAGCGGAGAAGGCAAGGAGTGAGGCTGAGCAGAAGAGAGAGGAAGCGGAGAAGGCAAGGAGTGAGGCTGAGCAGAAGAGAGAGGAGGCTGAGGCGACGAAATGCGAGGCGGAGAAAGGGAGGGAGGAAGCAGAGAAGGCAAGGAGTGAGGCTGAGCAGAAGAGAGAGGAGGCTGAGGCAGCGAAATGCGAGGCGGAGAAAGAGAGGGAGGAAGCGGAGAAGGCAAGGAGTGAGGCTGAGCAGAAGAGAGCGGAGGCTGAGGCAGCGAAATGCGAGGCGGAGAAAGAGAGGGAGGAAGCGGAGAAGGCAAGGAGTGAGGTTGAGCAGAAGAGAGAGGAGGCTGAGGCAGCGAAATGCGAGGCGGAGAAAGGGAGGGAGGAAGTGGAGAAGGCAAGGAGTGAGGCTGAGCAGGAGAGAGAGGAGGCTGAGGCAGCGAAATGTGAGGCAGTGAAAGAGAGGGAGGAAGCGGAGAAGGCAAGGAGTGAGGCTGAGCAGAAGAGAGAGGAGGCTGAGGCAGCGAAATGCGAGGCGGAGAAAGAGAGGGAGGAAGCGGAGAAGGCAAGGAGTGAGGCTGAGCAGAAGAGGGAGGAGGCTGAGGCAGCGAAATGCGAGGCGGAGAAAGAGAGGGAGGAAGCGGAGAAGGCAAGGAGTGAGGCTGAGCAGAAGAGAGAGGAGGCTGAGGCAGCGAAATGCGAGGCGGAGAAAGAGAGGGAGGAAGCGGAGAAGGCAAGGAGTGAGGCTGAGCAGAAGAGAGAGGAAGCGGAGAAGGCAAGGAGTGAGGCTGAGCAGAAGAGAGAGGAGGCTGAGGCGACGAAATGCGAGGCGGAGAAAGGGAGGGAGGAAGTGGAGAAGGCAAGGAGTGAGGCTGAGCAGGAGAGAGAGGAGGCTGAGGCAGCGAAATGTGAGGCAGTGAAAGAGAGGGAGGAAGCGGAGAAGGCAAGGAGTGAGGCTGAGCAGAAGAGAGAGGAGGCTGAGGCAGCGAAATGCGAGGCGGAGAAAGAGAGGGAGGAAGCGGAGAAGGCAAGGAGTGAGGCTGAGCAGAAGAGGGAGGAGGCTGAGGCAGCGAAATGCGAGGCGGAGAAAGAGAGGGAGGAAGCGGAGAAGGCAAGGAGTGAGGCTGAGCAGAAGAGAGAGGAGGCTGAGGCAGCGAAATGCGAGGCGGAGAAAGAGAGGGAGGAAGCGGAGAAGGCAAGGAGTGAGGCTGAGCAGAAGAGAGAGGAAGCGGAGAAGGCAAGGAGTGAGGCTGAGCAGAAGAGAGAGGAGGCTGAGGCAGCGAAATGCGAGGCGGAGAAAGAGAGGGAGGAAGCGGAGAAGGCAAGGAGTGAGGCTGAGCAGGAGAGAGAGGAGGCTGAGGCAGCGAAATGTGAGGCAGTGAAAGAGAGGGAGGAAGCGGAGAAGGCAAGGAGTGAGGCTGAGCAGGAGAGAGAGGAGGCTGAGGCAGCGAAATGTGAGGTAGTGAAAGAGAGGGAGGAAGCGGAGAAGGCAAGGAGTGAGGCTGAGCAGAAGAGAGAGGAGGCTGAGGCAGCGAAATGCGAGGCGGAGAAAGAGAGGGAGGAAGCGGAGAAGGCAAGGAGTGAGGCTGAGCAGAAGAGAGAGGAGGCTGAGGCAGCGAAATGCGAGGCGGAGAAAGAGAGAGAGGAAGCGGAGAAGGCAAGGAGTGAGGCTGAGCAGAAGAGAGAGGAAGCGGAGAAGGCAAGGAGTGAGGCTGAGCAGAAGAGAGAGGAGGCTGAGGCAGCGAAATGCGAGGCGGAGAAAGAGAGGGAGGAAGCGGAGAAGGCAAGGAGTGAGGCTGAGCAGAAGAGAGAGGAGGCTGAGGCAGCGAAATGCGAGGCGGAGAAAGAGAGAGAGGAAGCGGAGAAGGCAAGGAGTGAGGCTGAGCAGAAGAGAGAGGAGGCTGAGGCAGCGAAATGCGAGGCGGAGAAAGAGAGGGAGGAAGCGGAGAAGGCAAGGAGTGGGGCTGAGCAGAAGAGAGAGGAAGCGGAGAAGGCAAGGAGTGAGGCTGAGCAGAAGATAGAGGAGGCTGAGGCAGCGAAATGTGAGGCGGAGAAAGAGAGGGAGGAAGCGGAGAAGGCAAGGAGTGAGGCTGAGCAGAAGAGAGAGGAGGCTGAGGCAGCGAAATGCGAGGCGGAGAAAGAGAGGGAGGAAGCGGAGAAGGCAAGGAGTGAGGCTGAGCAGAAGAGGGAGGAAGCGGACAAGGCAAGGAGTGAGGCTGAGCAGAAGAGAGAGGAGGCTGAGGCAGCGAAATGCGAGGCGGAGAAAGAGAGGGAGGAAGCGGAGAAGGCAAGGAGTGAGGCTGAGCAGAAGAGAGAGGAAGCGGAGAAGGCAAGGAGTGAGGCTGAGCAGAAGAGAGAGGAGGCTGAGGCAGCGAAATGCGAGGCGGAGAAAGAGAGGGAGGAAGCGGAGAAGGCAAGGAGTGAGGCTGAGCAGAAGAGAGAGGAGGCTGAGGCAGCGAAATGCGATGCGGAGAAAGAGAGGGAGGAAGCGGAGAAGGCAAGGCGTGAGGCTCAGCAGAAGAGAGAGGAGGCTGAGGCGACGAAATGCGAGGCGGAGAAAGAAAGGCAGGAAGCGGAGAAGGTAAGGAGTGAGGCTGAGCAGGAGAGAGAGGAGGCTGAGGCAGCGAAATGTGAGGCAGTGAAAGAGAGGGAGGAAGCGGAGAAGGCAAGGAGTGAGGCTGAGCAGGAGAGAGAGGAGGCTGAGGCAGCGAAATGTGAGGTAGTGAAAGAGAGGGAGGAAGCGGAGAAGGCAAGGAGTGAGGCTGAGCAGAAGAGAGAGGAGGCTGAGGCAGCGAAATGCGAGGCGGAGAAAGAGAGGGAGGAAGCGGAGAAGGCAAGGAGTGAGGCTGAGCAGGAGAGAGAGGAGGCTGAGGCAGCGAAATGTGAGGCAGTGAAAGAGAGGGAGGAAGCGGAGAAGGCAAGGAGTGAGGCTGAGCAGGAGAGAGAGGAGGCTGAGGCAGCGAAATGTGAGGTAGTGAAAGAGAGGGAGGAAGCGGAGAAGGCAAGGAGTGAGGCTGAGCAGAAGAGAGAGGAGGCTGAGGCAGCGAAATGCGAGGCGGAGAAAGAGAGGGAGGAAGCGGAGAAGGCAAGGAGTGAGGCTGAGCAGAAGAGAGAGGAGGCTGAGGCAGCGAAATGCGAGGCGGAGAAAGAGAGAGAGGAAGCGGAGAAGGCAAGGAGTGAGGCTGAGCAGAAGAGAGAGGAAGCGGAGAAGGCAAGGAGTGAGGCTGAGCAGAAGAGAGAGGAGGCTGAGGCAGCGAAATGCGAGGCGGAGAAAGAGAGGGAGGAAGCGGAGAAGGCAAGGAGTGAGGCTGAGCAGAAGAGAGAGGAGGCTGAGGCAGCGAAATGCGAGGCGGAGAAAGAGAGAGAGGAAGCGGAGAAGGCAAGGAGTGAGGCTGAGCAGAAGAGAGAGGAGGCTGAGGCAGCGAAATGCGAGGCGGAGAAAGAGAGGGAGGAAGCGGAGAAGGCAAGGAGTGGGGCTGAGCAGAAGAGAGAGGAAGCGGAGAAGGCAAGGAGTGAGGCTGAGCAGAAGATAGAGGAGGCTGAGGCAGCGAAATGTGAGGCGGAGAAAGAGAGGGAGGAAGCGGAGAAGGCAAGGAGTGAGGCTGAGCAGAAGAGAGAGGAGGCTGAGGCAGCGAAATGCGAGGCGGAGAAAGAGAGGGAGGAAGCGGAGAAGGCAAGGAGTGAGGCTGAGCAGAAGAGAGAGGAGGCTGAGGCAGCGAAATGCGAGGCGGAGAAAGAGAGAGAGGAAGCGGAGAAGGCAAGGAGTGAGGCTGAGCAGAAGAGAGAGGAAGCGGAGAAGGCAAGGAGTGAGGCTGAGCAGAAGAGAGAGGAGGCTGAGGCAGCGAAATGCGAGGCGGAGAAAGAGAGGGAGGAAGCGGAGAAGGCAAGGAGTGAGGCTGAGCAGAAGAGAGAGGAGGCTGAGGCAGCGAAATGCGAGGCGGAGAAAGAGAGAGAGGAAGCGGAGAAGGCAAGGAGTGAGGCTGAGCAGAAGAGAGAGGAGGCTGAGGCAGCGAAATGCGAGGCGGAGAAAGAGAGGGAGGAAGCGGAGAAGGCAAGGAGTGAGGCTGAGCAGAAGAGAGAGGAAGCGGAGAAGGCAAGGAGTGAGGCTGAGCAGAAGATAGAGGAGGCTGAGGCAGCGAAATGTGAGGCGGAGAAAGAGAGGGAGGAAGCGGAGAAGGCAAGGAGTGAGGCTGAGCAGAAGAGAGAGGAGGCTGAGGCAACGAAATGCGAGGCGGAGAAAGAGAGGGAGGAAGCGGAGAAGGCAAGGAGTGAGGCTGAGCAGAAGAGGGAGGAGGCTGAGGCAGCGAAATGCGAGGCGGAGAAAGAGAGGGAGGAAGCAGAGAAGGCAAGGAGTGAGGCTGAGCAGAAGAGAGAGGAGGCTGAGGCAGCGAAATGCGAGGCGGAGAAAGAGAGGGAGGAAGCGGAGAAGGCAAGGAGTGAGGCTGAGCAGAAGAGAGAGGAAGCGGAGAAGGCAAGGAGTGAGGCTGAGCAGAAGAGAGAGGAGGCTGAGGCAGCGAAATGCGAGGCGGAGAAAGAGAGGGAGGAAGCGGAGAAGGCAAGGAGTGAGGCTGAGCAGAAGAGAGAGGAGGCTGAGGCAGCGAAATGCGATGCGGAGAAAGAGAGGGAGGAAGCGGAGAAGGCAAGGAGTGAGGCTCAGCAGAAGAGAGAGGAGGCTGAGGCGACGAAATGCGAGGCGGAGAAAGAAAGGCAGGAAGCGGAGAAGGTAAGGAGTGAGGCTGAGCAGGAGAGAGAGGAGGCTGAGGCAGCGAAATGTGAGGCAGTGAAAGAGAGGGAGGAAGCGGAGAAGGCAAGGAGTGAGGCTGAGCAGGAGAGAGAGGAGGCTGAGGCAGCAAAATGTGAGGTAGTGAAAGAGAGGGAGGAAGCGGAGAAGGCAAGGAGTGAGGCTGAGCAGAAGAGAGAGGAGGCTGAGGCAGCGAAATGCGAGGCGGAGAAAGAGAGGGAGGAAGCGGAGAAGGCAAGGAGTGAGGCTGAGCAGGAGAGAGAGGAGGCTGTGGCAGCGAAATGTGAGGCAGTGAAAGAGAGGGAGGAAGCGGAGAAGGCAAGGAGTGAGGCTGAGCAGAAGATAGAGGAGGCTGAGGCAGCGAAATGTGAGGCGGAGAAAGAGAGGGAGGAAGCGGAGAAGGCAAGGAGTGAGGCTGAGCAGAAGAGAGAGGAGGCTGAGGCAACGAAATGCGAGGCGGAGAAAGAGAGGGAGGAAGCGGAGAAGGCAAGGAGTGAGGCTGAGCAGAAGAGGGAGGAGGCTGAGGCAGCGAAATGCGAGGCGGAGAAAGAGAGGGAGGAAGCGGTGAAGGCAAGGAGTGAGGCTGAGCAGAAGAGAGAGGAGGCTGAGGCAGCGAAATGCGATGCGGAGAAAGAGAGGGAGGAAGCGGAGAAGGCAAGGAGTGAGGCTGAGCAGAAGAGAGAGGAGGCTGAGGCGAAGAAATTCGAGGCGGAGAAAGAAAGGGAGGAAGCGGAGAAGGCAAGGAGTGAGGCTGAGCAGGAGAGAGAGGAGGCTGAGGCAGCGAAATGCGATGCAGAGAAAGAGAGGGAGGAAGCGGAGAAGGCAAGGAGTGAGGCTGAGCAGGAGAGAGAGGAGGCTGAGGCAGCGAAATGTGAGGCAGTGAAAGAGAGGGAGGAAGCGGAGAAGGCAAGGAGTGAGGCTGAGCAGAAGAGAAAGGAGGCTGAGGCAGCGAAATGTGAGGCGGAGAAAGAGAGGGAGAAAGCGGAGAAGGCAAGGAGTGAGGTTGAGCAGAAGAGAGAGGAGGCTGAGGCAGCGAAATGCGAGGCGGAGAAAGAGAGGGAGGAAGCGGAGAAGGCAAGGAGTGAGGCTGAGCAGAAGAGAGAGGAGGCTGAGGCAGCGAAATGCGAGGCGGAGAAAGATAGGGAGGAAGCGGAGAAGGCAAGGAGTGAGGCTGAGCAGAAGAGAGAGGAGGCTGAGGCAGCGAAATGCGAGGCGGAGAAAGAGAGGGAGGAAGTGGAGACGGCAAGGAGTGAGGCTGAGCAGAAGAGAGAGGAAGCGGAGAAGGCAAGGAGTGAGGCTGAGCAGAAGAGAGAGGAGGCTGAGGCAGCGAAATGCGAGGCGGAGAAAGAGAGGGAGGAAGCGGAGAAGGCAAGGAGTGAGGCTGAGCAGAAGAGGGAGGAAGCGGACAAGGCAAGGAGTGAGGCTGAGCAGAAGAGAGAGGAGGCTGAGGCAGCGAAATGCGAGGCGGAGAAAGAGAGGGAGGAAGCGGAGAAGGCAAGGAGTGAGGCTGAGCAGAAGAGAGAGGAGGCTGAGGCGACGAAATGCGAGGCGGAGAAAGGGAGGGAGGAAGTGGAGAAGGCAAGGAGTGAGGCTGAGCAGGAGAGAGAGGAGGCTGAGGCAGTGAAATGTGAGGCAGTGAAAGAGAGGGAGGAAGCGGAGAAGGCAAGGAGTGAGGCTGAGCAGAAGAGAGAGGAGGCTGAGGCAGCGAATTGTGAGGCGGAGAAAGAGAGGGAGGATGCGGAGAAGGCAAGGAGTGAGGCTGAGCAGAAGAGAGAGGAGGCTGAGGCAGCGAAATGCGAGGCGGAGAAAGAGAGGGAGGAAGCGGAGAAGGCAAGGAGTGAGGCTGAGCAGAAGAGAGAGGAGGCTGAGGCGACGAAATGCGAGGCGGAGAAAGGGAGGGAGGAAGTGGAGAAGGCAAGGAGTGAGGCTGAGCAGGAGAGAGAGGAGGCTGAGGCAGTGAAATGTGAGGCAGTGAAAGAGAGGGAGGAAGCGGAGAAGGCAAGGAGTGAGGCTGAGCAGAAGAGAGAGGAGGCTGAGGCAGCGAATTGTGAGGCGGAGAAAGAGAGGGAGGATGCGGAGAAGGCAAGGAGTGAGGCTGAGCAGAAGAGAGAGGAGGCTGAGGCAGCGAAATGCGAGGCGGAGAAAGAGAGGGAGGAAGCGGAGAAGGCAAGGAGTGAGGCTGAGCAGAAGAGAGAGGAGGCTGAGGCAGCGAAATGCGAGGCGGAGAAAGAGAGAGAGGAAGCGGAGAAGGCAAGGAGTGAGGCTGAGCAGAAGAGAGAGGAGGCTGAGGCAGCGAAATGCGAGGCGGAGAAAGAGAGGGAGGAAGCGGAGAAGGCAAGGAGTGAGGCTGAGCAGAAGAGAGAGGAAGCGGAGAAGGCAAGGAGTGAGGCTGAGCAGAAGATAGAGGAGGCTGAGGCAGCGAAATGTGAGGCGGAGAAAGAGAGGGAGGAAGCGGAGAAGGCAAGGTGTGAGGCTGAGCAGAAGAGAGAGGAGGCTAAGGCAACGAAATGCGAGGCGGAGAAAGAGAGGGAGGAAGCGGAGAAGGCAAGGAGTGAGGCTGAGCAGAAGAGGGAGGAGGCTGAGGCAGCGAAATGCGAGGCGGAGAAAGAGAGGGAGGAAGCGGAGAAGGCAAGGAGTGAGGCTGAGCAGAAGAGAGAGGAGGCTGAGGCAGCGAAATGCGAGGCGGAGAAAGAGAGGGAGGAAGCGGAGAAGGCAAGGAGTGAGGCTGAGCAGAAGAGAGAGGAAGCGGAGAAGGCAAGGAGTGAGGCTGAGCAGAAGAGAGAGGAGGCTGAGGCAGCGAAATGCGATGCGGAGAAAGAGAGGGAGGAAGCGGAGAAGGCAAGGAGTGAGGCTCAGCAGAAGAGAGAGGAGGCTGAGGCTACGAAATGCGAGGCGGAGAAAGAAAGGCAGGAAGCGGAGAAGGTAAGGAGTGAGGCTGAGCAGGAGAGAGAGGAGGCTGAGGCAGCGAAATGTGAGGCAGTGAAAGAGAGGGAGGAAGCGGAGAAGGCAAGGAGTGAGGCTGAGCAGGAGAGAGATGAGGCTGAGGCAGCGAAATGTGAGGTAGTGAAAGAGAGGGAGGAAGCGGAGAAGGCAAGGAGTGAGGCTGAGCAGAAGAGAGAGGAGGCTGAGGCAGCGAAATGCGAGGCGGAGAAAGAGAGAGAGGAAGCGGAGAAGGCAAGGAGTGAGGCTGAGCAGAAGAGAGAGGAGGCTGAGGCAGCGAAATGCGAGGCGGAGAAAGAGAGGGAGGAAGCGGAGAAGGCAAGGAGTGAGGCTGAGCAGAAGAGAGAGGAAGCGGAGAAGGCAAGGAGTGAGGCTGAGCAGAAGATAGAGGAGGCTGAGGCAGCGAAATGTGAGGCGGAGAAAGAGAGGGAGGAAGCGGAGAAGGCAAGGTGTGAGGCTGAGCAGAAGAGAGAGGAGGCTAAGGCAACGAAATGCGAGGCGGAGAAAGAGAGGGAGGAAGCGGAGAAGGCAAGGAGTGAGGCTGAGCAGAAGAGGGAGGAGGCTGAGGCAGCGAAATGCGAGGCGGAGAAAGAGAGGGAGGAAGCGGAGAAGGCAAGGAGTGAGGCTGAGCAGAAGAGAGAGGAGGCTGAGGCAGCGAAATGCGAGGCGGAGAAAGAGAGGGAGGAAGCGGAGAAGGCAAGGAGTGAGGCTGAGCAGAAGAGAGAGGAAGCGGAGAAGTCAAGGAGTGAGGCTGAGCAGAAGAGAGAGGAGGCTGAGGCAGCGAAATGCGAGGCGGAGAAAGAGAGGGAGGAAGCGGAGAAGGCAAGGAGTGAGGCTGAGCAGAAGAGAGAGGAGGCTGAGGCAGCGAAATGCGATGCGGAGAAAGAGAGGGAGGAAGCGGAGAAGGCAAGGAGTGAGGCTCAGCAGAAGAGAGAGGAGGCTGAGGCGACGAAATGCGAGGCGGAGAAAGAAAGGCAGGAAGCGGAGAAGGTAAGGAGTGAGGCTGAGCAGGAGAGAGAGGAGGCTGAGGCAGCGAAATGTGAGGCAGTGAAAGAGAGGGAGGAAGCGGAGAAGGCAAGGAGTGAGGCTGAGCAGGAGAGAGAGGAGGCTGAGGCAGCGAAATGTGAGGTAGTGAAAGAGAGGGAGGAAGCGGAGAAGGCAAGGAGTGAGGCTGAGCAGAAGAGAGAGGAGGCTGAGGCAGCGAAATGCGAGGCGGAGAAAGAGAGAGAGGAAGCGGAGAAGGCAAGGAGTGAGGCTGAGCAGAAGAGAGAGGAAGCGGAGAAGGCAAGGAGTGAGGCTGAGCAGAAGAGAGAGGAGGCTGAGGCAGCGAAATGCGAGGCGGAGAAAGAGAGGGAGGAAGCGGAGAAGGCAAGGAGTGAGGCTGAGCAGAAGAGAGAGGAGGCTGAGGCAGCGAAATGCGAGGCGGAGAAAGAGAGAGAGGAAGCGGAGAAGGCAAGGAGTGAGGCTGAGCAGAAGAGAGAGGAGGCTGAGGCAGCGAAATGCGAGGCGGAGAAAGAGAGGGAGGAAGCGGAGAAGGCAAGGAGTGGGGCTGAGCAGAAGAGAGAGGAAGCGGACAAGGCAAGGAGTGAGGCTGAGCAGAAGAGAGAGGAGGCTGAGGCAGCGAAATGCGAGGCGGAGAAAGAGAGGGAGGAAGCGGAGAAGGCAAGGAGTGAGGCTGAGCAGAAGAGAGAGGAAGCGGACAAGGCAAGGAGTGAGGCTGAGCAGAAGAGAGAGGAGGCTGAGGCAGCGAAATGCGATGCGGAGAAAGAGAGGGAGGAAGCGGAGAAGGCAAGGAGTGAGGCTGAGCAGAAGAGAGAGGAGGCTGAGGCAGCGAAATGCGATGCGGAGAAAGAGAGGGAGGAAGCGGAGAAGGCAAGGAGTGAGGCTCAGCAGAAGAGAGAGGAGGCTGAGGCGACGAAATGCGAGGCGGAGAAAGAAAGGCAGGAAGCGGAGAAGGTAAGGAGTGAGGCTGAGCAGGAGAGAGAGGAGGCTGAGGCAGCGAAATGTGAGGCAGTGAAAGAGAGGGAGGAAGCGGAGAAGGCAAGGAGTGAGGCTGAGCAGGAGAGAGAGGAGGCTGAGGCAGCGAAATGTGAGGTAGTGAAAGAGAGGGAGGAAGCGGAGAAGGCAAGGAGTGAGGCTGAGCAGAAGAGAGAGGAGGCTGAGGCAGCGAAATGCGAGGCGGAGAAAGAGAGGGAGGAAGCGGAGAAGGCAAGGAGTGAGGCTGAGCAGGAGAGAGAGGAGGCTGAGGCAGCGAAATGTGAGGCAGTGAAAGAGAGGGAGGAAGCGGAGAAGGCAAGGAGTGAGGCTGAGCAGGAGAGAGAGGAGGCTGAGGCAGCGAAATGTGAGGTAGTGAAAGAGAGGGAGGAAGCGGAGAAGGCAAGGAGTGAGGCTGAGCAGAAGAGAGAGGAGGCTGAGGCAGCGAAATGCGAGGCGGAGAAAGAGAGGGAGGAAGCGGAGAAGGCAAGGAGTGAGGCTGAGCAGAAGAGAGAGGAGGCTGAGGCAGCGAAATGCGAGGCGGAGAAAGAGAGAGAGGAAGCGGAGAAGGCAAGGATTGAGGCTGAGCAGAAGAGAGAGGAAGCGGAGAAGGCAAGGAGTGAGGCTGAGCAGAAGAGAGAGGAGGCTGAGGCAGCGAAATGCGAGGCGGAGAAAGAGAGGGAGGAAGCGGAGAAGGCAAGGAGTGAGGCTGAGCAGAAGAGAGAGGAGGCTGAGGCAGCGAAATGCGAGGCGGAGAAAGAGAGAGAGGAAGCGGAGAAGGCAAGGAGTGAGGCTGAGCAGAAGAGAGAGGAGGCTGAGGCAGCGAAATGCGAGGCGGAGAAAGAGAGGGAGGAAGCGGAGAAGGCAAGGAGTGGGGCTGAGCAGAAGAGAGAGGAAGCGGAGAAGGCAAGGAGTGAGGCTGAGCAGAAGATAGAGGAGGCTGAGGCAGCGAAATGTGAGGCGGAGAAAGAGAGGGAGGAAGCGGAGAAGGCAAGGAGTGAGGCTGAGCAGAAGAGAGAGGAGGCTGAGGCAGCGAAATGCGAGGCGGAGAAAGAGAGGGAGGAAGCGGAGAAGGCAAGGAGTGAGGCTGAGCAGAAGAGGGAGGAAGCGGACAAGGCAAGGAGTGAGGCTGAGCAGAAGAGAGAGGAGGCTGAGGCAGCGAAATGCGAGGCGGAGAAAGAGAGGGAGGAAGCGGAGAAGGCAAGGAGTGAGGCTGAGCAGAAGAGAGAGGAGGCTGAGGCGACGAAATGCGAGGCGGAGAAAGGGAGGGAGGAAGTGGAGAAGGCAAGGAGTGAGGCTGAGCAGGAGAGAGAGGAGGCTGAGGCAGCGAAATGTGAGGCAGTGAAAGAGAGGGAGGAAGCGGAGAAGGCAAGGAGTGAGGCTGAGCAGAAGAGAGAGAAGGCTGAGGCAGCGAAATGCGAAGCGGAGAAAGAGAGGGAGGAAGCGGAGAAGGCAAGGAGTGAGGCTGAGCAGAAGAGAGAGAAGGCTGAGGCAACGAAATGCGAGGCGGAGAAAGAGAGGGAGGAAGCGGAGAAGGCAATGAGTGAGGCTGAGCAGAAGAGAGAGGAGGCTGAGGCGACGAAATGCGAGGTTGAGAAAGGGAGGGAGGAAGTAGAGAAGGCAAGGAGTGAGGCTGAGCAGGAGAGAGAGGAGGCTGAGGCAGCGAAATGTGAGGCAGTGAAAGAGAGGGAGGAAGCGGAGAAGGCAAGGAGTGAGGCTGAGCAGAAGAGAGAGGAGGCTGAGGCAGCGAAATGCGAGGCGGAGAAAGAGAGGGAGGAAGCGGAGAAGGCAAGGAGTGAGGCTGAGCAGAAGAGAGAGGAGGCTGAGGCAGCGAAATGCGAGGCGGAGAAAGAGAGGGAGGAAGCGGAGAAGGCAAGGAGTGAGGCTGAGCAGAAGAGAGAGGAAGCGGAGAAGGCAAGGAGTGAGGCTGAGCAGAAGAGAGAGGAGGCTGAGGCAGCGAAATGTGAGGCGGAGAAAGAGAGGGAGGAAGCGGAGAAGGCAAGGAGTGAGGTTGAGCAGAAGAGAGAGGATGCTGAGGCAGCGAAATGCGAGGCGGAGAAAGAGAGGGAGGAAGCGGAGAAGGCAAGGAGTGAGGCTGAGCAGAAGAGAGAGGAGGCTGAGGCAGCGAAATGCGAGGCAGAGAAAGAGAGGGAGGAAGCGGAGAAGGCAAGGAGTGAGGCTGAGCAGAAGAGAGAGGAAGCGGAGAAGGCAAGGAGTGAGGCTGAGCAGAAGAGAGAGGAAGCGGAGAAGGCAAGGAGTGAGGCTGAGAAGAATAGAGAGGAGGCTGAGGCAGCGAAATGCGAGGCGGAGAAAGAGAGGGAGGAAGCGGTGAAGGCAAGGAGTGAGGCTGAGCAGAAGAGAGAGGAGGCTGAGGCAGCGAAATGCGATGCGGAGAAAGAGAGGGAGGAAGCGGAGAAGGCAAGGAGTGAGGCTGAGCAGAAGAGAGAGGAGGCTGAGGCGAAGAAATTCGAGGCGGAGAAAGAAAGGGAGGAAGCGGAGAAGGCAAGGAGTGAGGCTGAGCAGGAGAGAGAGGAGGCTGAGGCAGCGAAATGCGATGCAGAGAAAGAGAGGGAGGAAGCGGAGAAGGCAAGGAGTGAGGCTGAGCAGGAGAGAGAGGAGGCTGAGGCAGCGAAATGTGAGGCAGTGAAAGAGAGGGAGGAAGCGGAGAAGGCAAGGAGTGAGGCTGAGCAGAAGAGAAAGGAGGCTGAGGCAGCGAAATGTGAGGCGGAGAAAGAGAGGGAGAAAGCGGAGAAGGCAAGGAGTGAGGTTGAGCAGAAGAGAGAGGAGGCTGAGGCAGCGAAATGCGAGGCGGAGAAAGAGAGGGAGGAAGCGGAGAAGGCAAGGAGTGAGGCTGAGCAGAAGAGAGAGGAGGCTGAGGCAGCGAAATGCGAGGCGGAGAAAGATAGGGAGGAAGCGGAGAAGGCAAGGAGTGAGGCTGAGCAGAAGAGAGAGGAGGCTGAGGCAGCGAAATGCGAGGCGGAGAAAGAGAGGGAGGAAGTGGAGACGGCAAGGAGTGAGGCTGAGCAGAAGAGAGAGGAAGCGGAGAAGGCAAGGAGTGAGGCTGAGCAGAAGAGAGAGGAGGCTGAGGCAGCGAAATGCGAGGCGGAGAAAGAGAGGGAGGAAGCGGAGAAGGCAAGGAGTGAGGCTGAGCAGAAGAGGGAGGAAGCGGACAAGGCAAGGAGTGAGGCTGAGCAGAAGAGAGAGGAGGCTGAGGCAGCGAAATGCGAGGCGGAGAAAGAGAGGGAGGAAGCGGAGAAGGCAAGGAGTGAGGCTGAGCAGAAGAGAGAGGAGGCTGAGGCGACGAAATGCGAGGCGGAGAAAGGGAGGGAGGAAGTGGAGAAGGCAAGGAGTGAGGCTGAGCAGGAGAGAGAGGAGGCTGAGGCAGTGAAATGTGAGGCAGTGAAAGAGAGGGAGGAAGCGGAGAAGGCAAGGAGTGAGGCTGAGCAGAAGAGAGAGGAGGCTGAGGCAGCGAATTGTGAGGCGGAGAAAGAGAGGGAGGATGCGGAGAAGGCAAGGAGTGAGGCTGAGCAGAAGAGAGAGGAGGCTGAGGCAGCGAAATGCGAGGCGGAGAAAGAGAGGGAGGAAGCGGAGAAGGCAACGAGTGAGGCTGAGCAGAAGAGAGAGGAGGCTGAGGCAGCGAAATGTGAGGCGGAGAAAGAGAGGGAGGAAGCGGAGAAGGCAAGGAGTGAGGCTGAGCAGAAGAGAGAGGAGGCTGAGGCAGCAGCATTGGAGGCCGAGAATGAGAGGGAAGGGATTGAGAGGAGGAGGATACAGACTGAGTCATATTTGAATGATGCACTGAGGAGGTTGAGTGATGTTTCAGATGTTGTTGACAAAGCTAAGAGGGATGCTGATGAGGCTAGACTGGGTGCTGATGTGGCAAGACGTGATGCTGATTTGGCAAGACGTGATGCTGATGTGGCACGACGAGAGGCTGATGCGGCCAGAAGTGTTGCTGACGAATGCAAGCTCGCTGCTGAGCTGGCAAAACAAGCTGCTGACTTGGCAAGGCAAGATGCTGAAGTGGCGAGGCGTGCAGCTGAGGAGGCAGAGGAGGAAAGAAGGATGGTTGAGAGAAGAAGGGAGGATGCCGGGAAGAATGGGGATGGAGAGGGATGGATGAAGGAATTGGAACGGCTGAGGCTTGAATTGGAGATGGCTAGGAGGGAGGGGGAGATTGCAAGGAGCGAGCTTGAAAGAGTGAGAAGGGATGGGGAGAGTGTGAGGGAGGAGCTTCAGAAGGTGGGAAGGGATGGAGAGGGTTTGAAGGAGGAGCTAGAGAGAGTGAGAGGGGAGTTGGGGAGAGTGAGAAGGGAGCTGGAACGGGTGACGGAGGCTAAGAGGGAGAGTGTGCGGAACCTGAGCGAGTCATTGGTGGCTTCAGAGGAGCAGAGGAAGAAGCTGGTGGAGCTGCTTCGAATGGCCGAGAGCTTCGAAGGTCAGTGTTTATTGTTCTTTTATGTGAATTCCTTCAGTTTTTGTATGTCTGGTTTTTATTTCAGACTCTTTTTAGGATATATGGTACTACCTACGCTCATTCTAGTCTCTTTTCCGGTGCTTATGGGAATCTTGTTTGTATGTGATTGCGCATGCAGGGTTTTCCACATCACTCTGGTAATGGTGCCAGTGACCTTCAAGACTAATTTCTTAATCGAAATTCCTCACTGCTAACATATTGAGTACTCCTGATTGTTCTGCTTGTACATATCTAACTTTTGTCGTTTTATTTATCTGTCCTCGTCTTGTGCTGTTAACCTCATATTCTAAGGAGGTTTTGTCTTTTTTTCTGGGAGGAAAGTAATTGGCCTCTCTAAATTCAGCGCTCTTTTCCGCAACCTACAGAGTGATGTTATCGCAACAGCTTGTGAAGTACTGGCGGTTGTGTTTCTGCCGCTCTCTGCTTCCGCGAAGGCGCATGATTTCGTGATGAGTGGAAGCTCGGGTGACCACGGTCGTGCGTTTCGTGTCATCTCATTCCATGCTTTCGTGCTGGCTCAATTGTTCCGCTGTCGACGTTGCAACGAGGTGGATGCCCGTTTTTCGTCAGGAACAGTAGAGCCGAAAGATGACACGCACCCCTGCAGTATCTTGGAGATGCTCCTCCATCCCCTGCGTCCGCGCACAGCGCTGCATGGTGCGTTCATACATTTCAATGGCTAGTTGCGTTCAGTTTCGGTTTTGCAGGGCAGGGACCATACGCTTCCAGAGTCCAACAGCAGCACCACCCAGCACACCACCAGCATCAAGGCTACCTCGTTCCCTTCATTGACCATATTCTTCCAGAGATACGCAAGCGGTTGAGTACAGTACAGTACGATGTTGGGCACTCGGTTGCATTGATCTTGGTTCACCACTATGAACCGCTCTGCTCACCTGCCTGAACCTGTTGTTGTGACCTTCCTCTTCCAGCATCGAAACACTTGTCCTCAAGCCTAAGCATTCTTCAGTTGGGATTAGAGCTAATTCATGGGAGATGTGATCTAGCCGAGAGCTAATCTAGTAAATGTCTTCTTCCCTGCAAGTTTCACTGTTGTGGAGAAGATCCTAATATCAAGTCCTTAAAAACGTGACAGCATCTCATTGATCATTTCGGGTCACTGGATCAGCGTCCTCGTTAATCTTGAATCAGCAAGTCAGCAAAAAGGGATAAGTCAGCATCTCAGTGATTGTGAAATCAGCATCTCATCATGTCTAGTCGGAGTCATCATTCTGACACCAACGCATCGCATCTTGTGGATAAGGCGTGCAGCGAGTACCTGGCGGAACCTGATTGGACCACCAATCTCCAGCTCTGCGACCTCCTCAATGTATCGTCAGAGTAAGCTGACCTGTGAATCATCGCAGCGAATCTCGTTTTAGCGTCACTTCTTGAGAAGAACTCAATAATTCTAAGCCAGGTGAAGCGTTTGAATCGAGCTATAAAGTGGCTCTTCTGGGGGGGAGTTCAGGTACCGGCGACACGCCAGATTGCGTACCGAACAGCTAACGACTAGTTTTTGTTGGACAGTCTTTGCTTTTGCATGCTGATCTCTGGTTATACAATATATATTGAAAGTCTCACTATTGCAAAGCATTATAGCATCATAACGTCATAACTTCCTTTCCAATACCTAGTCAGACAGCAGACGCCACCCGAGCCATGCACAAGATGCCCACGCCTCGCTCTTGGCTTGCAACAAAATGATTCATTTCTATTTTTATTTTCCTCCCTCACCCTCCAGCAAGGTGGGAGATGCCATGCGGGCCGTTCACAAGAAGGTCACGTCACGCCATCCACAAGTGCAGCTCTCTGCTCTCACTGTACGTTACAACTTGTGCCTACGCCGTCCTCTGTACGTTACAACTCGTGCATTAGACCCACAATGTTGTACGTTGGAACCTGTGTGATGTCCAAGCACAAGTCCCAGCTCCCTTCTCTAAACATACGTTATGATATAATGTCTACACCACAATATTTCTGTTATAATACAGTCTGTACAGTGTGCAACGTTCATCACCATGACACGTGGCACAATGCACTGTGCACTGTGGTTTAGAACCGCAGAGTTTGTCTGCCTTTTCTGAACCACCTGAACCCATTTTTGTTCACTCCCCCCTTCACAGCTCCTAGAAACCGTAATGAAGAACTGTGGGGGGACGGTGCACGCACTGATAGCCGTTGGTAACTGTCATTTCTAAACGAACAGAACCTGTTTTTGTCATCTTCCCCCGCCCCACCCCTTTGCAGCTGCTGGAAACGGTAATGAAGAACTGTGGGGGGGCGGTGCACGCTCAGGTGGTGGCGAGAGGAGTGCTTGCTGACGTGGCCAAGATTGCCAGGAAAGGAGGGGTGCGTTTGTTCTTTCTTTCCTTCTTTCTTTCTTTCCTTCTTTTTGTGTCGTCCTTTGAGGGGGATTTCCTACTCCTTTGCTGCTATCTCATCCTGTACTGCATGCATGCACGCTAGCATTTGTCTGAACATCCCACCGCCACTGTGCCAATCAGTGATCCCTACCATCCTCCCTCCCTGTACAACACTATCCTCCACAGGCGAGCCCAGCAGCAACAGCAAGAGCGCGAGGGCTTATTCAGGAGTGGGCGGACGTGTTCCCCCCTGGCCCCACCTGCCTGCACACCGAGTACTTCCTCACATTCGACGAGCTCAAGGTGTGATCCCGTTTCGTAAGAAACGTCACACATGGAGTGGATATTTTCTCAGTCTATCTCTGCCTCTTCCCGAGTTTGCTCTGAGAGTGGGAGTGGGCGGATTTGTTCCCCTCTGGTCCTACCTGCCGCCACACGGAGTACTTTCTCACTTTTCTGTTGGAGTATATTGGATATATGCTCAGTCTGTCTCTGTCTCTCTCTTCGGGCCGGCTCCTGAGTGGGAGTAAGAGGACGTGTTCGTCCCTGGCCCCACCTGCCGCCCCGCCACACAGAGTACTTTCTCACCTTCGACGAGCTCAAGGTGTGATTTTGTTTGCTGTATATGTAGATCGGATATTTCCTCAGTCTATCTCTGCCTCTTCCCGAGTTTGCTCTGAGAGTGGGAGTGGGCGGACGTGTTCCCCTCTGGCCCTACCTGCCGCCACACAGAGTACTTCCTCACGTTCGATGAGCTCAACTCTCAAGGTGTGATTCTGTTGTTTTTTCCTTCTCCCCATACCGTATGTACAAACAGTACCCTTTGTTGTCTGCCCGCGTCTCCCTGTTCCCCACTGTCTTCCCTGCAGAGGAGTGGCGTCCCCTTTCCCCCCCATCGCCACACCACAAGCCCCCACCACTCCCCCTCCATCCCCATGCCGGCTCCCGAGCGTGCAGCAGCCAGTCACGGCGTGCCACCTGGCGGCCTCCCCCCGCACTTGCATCCCCATGCCAACCATTCTACACCTCCTCAGCTATACAACTCGCCCACCTACGGCAGCCCTGTTGGGGGGTACAGTCCTGGTAACTCTCCTGCTGCTTATAACGGAGCTGCTCATAATGGAGCTGGTTATGATGGTGCGCGGTCTCCTCTTGCTGGCCCCAGGTCGTTGCCGCCCCAGCCACAGCCCCCTCCCTTGCACTACCAGCAGCAGCAGCACCCACAGCAGCCACAGGCACAGCAGCAGCAGAGCGGGAGTGGGTCACAGGACGGGGCGAGTGACAAGCCTATGAGGTGAGAGAAATGGGGAGTGGGAATTAAGAAGGGAAGAGGGGGAGAGCGGGTGGGAAGGGAGGAAGGGAGGGAGGGAAGGAGGGAGGGAAGGAGGGAGGGAAGGGGTTGATAGTTTCAATGGAGGTGCTAACTGACCTGCTCTCACACCCACACACACACCCAACCACAGCCGTGCCTCTGGGCCCCTTCTCTTACTCACGCCCTCACCGTCATTCCCACCCGCCATTTCCAGTCTTGCAGACATCACCACGGGGCTCAATTCGGTGGAGGTGTTATCTGACCTGCTCTCAGCTGCGCCCAAGGACAACCCTCTGCACCCTCGCTTACCCACATACTCATCCGTACTTATTCCCCCCATCACCAGTCTAGCAGACATCACAACAGGGTTGAATTCGGTGGAGGTGTTATCTGACCTGCTCTCAGCCGCACCCAGTGACAACCTTTCCCTTCTCTCCCCCCATTCCTCCTCTCCTGTGTGCTGCTGCCAAACACCAGTCTAGCAGACATGACCACGAGGCTCAACTCGGTGGAGGTGCTATCTGACTGCTCTCAGCTGCACCCCTAATTCACCCTTCTGTTCCCCTCCCGTCTCCCTCCTCCCCTCCTATACCTTGCTGCCAAACACCAGTCTAGCAGACATCACCACGGGGTTGAACTCGGTGGAGGTGCTATCTGACTGCTCTCAGCTGCACCCCTAATTCACCCTTCTGTTCGCTCCCTCCCGTCTCCCTCCTCCCCTCCTATACCTTGCTGCCAAACACCAGTCTAGCAGACATCACCACGGGGTTGAACTCGGTGGAGGTGCTATCTGACCTGCTCTCAGCCGCCCCCAAGGACAGCCCTGGCTCTGTGCTGGGAGACGAGTTGGTGCAGCAGCTGGTGGGGGAGTGCCGGGGCTTGGAGGGGCGACTAGCAGCTACCATCAACTCCACGAGGTAAGTGAGTCACTTTCTCCAGTGATGCGTGAAGGCGAATGTTGTGGTTTCTGAATGAAGGGCATCATCTCTGCCTCTGTTCTGGGGGACGAGTTGGTGCAGCAGCTGGTGGGGGAATGCCGTGGGTTGGAGGGGCGCCTGGCAGGGCGCGGCGTGAAGGCCACCAGGCGAGTCACTTTAGCCAGTGATGCGTGGCGTGAAGGCGAACTCTAGCTGTGTGTCTGGTCCTCTGATGTTGAATGGAAGAAGGACAACCCTTCCACTGTGTTGGGTGGGAGACGAGTTGGTGCAGCAGCTGGTGGGGAGTGCCGGGGGTTAGAAGGATGCCCAGCAGCTACCATCAACTCCACCAGGTGAGTCAGAGCTGTTTAGTCAATGACTCTCAGTTTTGATCAGCACCGGCACCTGTTCGGAGCCCATTGCCATACACCTTTTCCCGCCCATGGTTACACTACATCCAACCTGCTCTTCTCTGTGTGCCTATCCGTCCCTCCCTATCCCCCAATGATGAGCACCTGCTGCGCTCCGCCTTTGCACTCAACGACGAGGTGTAGGCAGTCAGTCATGAAGCGGTGCCCATGCCCATGCACTCGCAAATCCCACCGCCTTCCCCTGTCCTGTCCTGTGCATGCCTGCCCGTTCCCCCCTCTCCCCAGTGATGAGCACCTGCTGCGCTCCGCCCTGGCTCTCAACGACGAGGTGTAGGCTGTCATGAAGCGGTGTCCCAGGCTCGTGCCCATTTCCTCACAGTATCGGCTGTCACCCTTCTGTCCTGTGCATGCCTATCTCCCCTTTTTCCAGTGACGAGCATCTGTTGCGCTCTTCCCTCGCTCTCAACGACGAGGTGCAGGCCGTCATGAAGCGCCACACCCAGCTACAGAAAACCGCTCCTGCCGCTGCTAGTGCTGGTGGTGGTGCGTCTGCTCCCGGCTCGGCCGCAGCAGCAGGGGCAGCAGCAGCAGGGGGAGTGCAGTGGGCGCAGTACGATGGGGAGGGCGACACTGACAGCGAGCCAAGCATTCAGCTCGACAGACACGGGTGAGTCTTCTTTTGCTTTTCTCTCCCCTATGCATGCTGTCTCGGCTGCATCAGGGGCACCAGCAGGAGCAGTGCAGTGGCGCAGTACGATGGGGAGAGGGACACTGACAGCGAGCCCACCATTCAGCTCGACAGGCGCAAGTGGGTCCTCTTTTTCCCTCTCCTCTTCCTCCTTTTGTTTGTTTCTTCGCCTTTCTCAAGCTTCATATTTTCTAGTCGACTCAAAGACCCAGCATTCAGCTCCATAGACAGGCGAGCGAGGGTGAGTCTTTGCTTGTTTTTGTTTTTGTTTTTGTTTTTTTTTTTTCCGCCTCTTTCTCCCGGACCTCCTTTTCCAACCCCCCCTCACTCTACTCGTTTCTTGTTTGCCTCTATTTCCCAACCAGATTCCGCGCCCCCCTTCCCAGCCCCTCCTTTCCCCGTCTACAATGCACCATCTCCTCCCCATTCTTCCTTCTCCATCCGCCCCCGTGTCCCCCGCCCCCTCATACTCGTTGCTCCTTCCCTCCCCTCATTCACAACTCCTGCCCCCCATTCCTCCCCGCCTTTCCTCCCCCCCCAACCTTGCCCCTTTCCGCCACCACAGTCCGCCATCTTCCTTCCCCATCCTCATCCACAACACCTCCCTTTCCTTCCCCCCTGCTTTTCCACCCTCTTCCCGTCCCCCTTTCCCCCTCCCCCCCCCCCCATACAGTGCGCCATCTACCTTCTCCATCCGCCCCTCAGCTTCCCCCACCTTCTCCCCCAGCGCTCCCCCCGCCTCCCCCCTCCTCCCCCTTCCCCCTGACTGGAAACGCTCCTCCGCGCCTCATGCCCCCGCTGCCCCTCCTTCTTCTTCTGCTGCATCTGGTGCTGCTGGTGGTGCTTCTAGTGCTGACACAGCGGCAGCAGGAGAATCATCGGGAGCAGAAGCAGCAGCAGCAGCAGCAGCAGCAGCAGCAGGAGGAGGAGGAGGAGCAGGAGCGACAGTGGCAGGTGCAGCAGTGGCAGCAGCACCGGCAGGAGCAGCACCCCCTTATTCGCACCCACCATACGGCTCAGCCCCTGATCTACCAGCCATGACCGCCCACATGTCCCACTTGGCCCTCGCCCAACCCTCACCCAACGCACACCCCCACCCACATTCCGAACCTGCGTCCCGGGACGTGTCCCCCTTCCCTGCCCAAGCCTGGGGTGCAGGTTCGGCCGCCGCTGCTGCTGCTCCTACTGCTGCTGCTGCTCCTGTTTATCGCTCTGCAACAGATATGCTTCTTGCTGAGCTGTCGCCGTCCAATCCGTTTGCGCCAGGTGTGCAAGCAGCCACAGCGGGAGGAGAAGGACAAGGGGGAGGAGGATCCGTTTTTGCTGGAGCAGAGTCAGCACCACCACCAACATCGGCTCGTGCATTAGACTTTGGCTCTAGTCCTGCTGCTGGTGCTGCCGCTGCTGCTAGTGCTGCGAGCGATGCTTCGGATTCTGCTGCTCCCACTGTTTCTTCCGGCACCGCACCAAACCCCTTTGGAGTGGTCCCTCCCTCTTTCACCACCGAGCCTTCCCCATTCGAATCCGAGCCTTCCTTCCAAGCCCTTCCACACCCAGACCACTCCTCTACCGCCCCCTCCCCCGCCCCTTCCCCCTACGGCCCCCAACCCGCACACCTCCCTTCTCCCCAGACTTATCCGTCTCCTTACGCTCACACCACGTTACAGTCACAGCCCCCTTCGACTTCCTCCACTCCTGCTGCTGCGCTAGGCTCTGGGTTTGGCTCTGCTCCTGGGTCTGCCCCTCCCCGCCTCCCCAATTCCCTTCCTTCTCACTCACCCTCTGACCCCTTCGGTGGTTCAGGCTCCGGTGCTGCTGGTTTAGGTGCTGGTGGGGGATGTTTGACTGGTGTAGGTGCGTCTGGGTTTCCTGCTTCTGCTTCTCACCCTCCCTCTGCTGCTCCTAGATACCAGTCGGCCCAGCCTGGACAGATGTACCCACCCCAGTATGACCCGAACCAGCAATCCTGGCAGCAGCAACTTACACAGCAGCAGCAGCAACAGCACCAACACCAGCAGCAGCAGCCGCACCAGCAGCAATACCCGCCTCCAGTCTATCCCCAAATGCCAGGCCAGCAACAGCAACAGGGTTACCAGCATTACCAGCAACCACACTGGCAGCAGCAGCAGAATCAGATGTACCCACAGAATCAGCAGTACCAGCAACAGCAGCAGCAGCAGCAGTATATGATGGGGGCGGGAATGGGCGGAGTAAGTGGAGACACTCCCCCTCCTCCTTTCCCAAACGCTACACCCTCCTACCCTCCCCTTGGCCCTAACCAGAACTTCTCCCCTCTTGCTCTGCCATCTCCTGCTGTTTCCAACCGGCCCATGCCTTATGTCGGGTCAATGGGGGTGGGTACGGGAATGGGCATGGGCGCAGGTATGGGCATGGGAGCAGGGGTGGGCATGGGAGCAGGGATGGGGATGGGTATGGGAAATTCGTATCCATCCCTCTCCCCTACCAAGCCTCCTGCAGCTGGTTCGGTGACTAGCCTTGGCGGTAGCAGTGGGGGGATGCAGCATGGCTTTCAGCAGCAGCAGCATCCACAGCAGCAACAGCAGCAGCAGCAGGCGTTGGGACCGGCAGGATTGACAAGGCAGCAGTTGGCTCGGAACGAGGACCCCATGCTCACAACATCCATGTTTGCAGATCTGAAAGACATCAACGCGTCTCTGGCTCGCGATATCAACTCAGCAAAAACGGGAACAGCGGTGAGGCGTTAGGGCCGGCAGGATTGTCAAGGCAGCAGTTGGCTCGGAACAAAGACCCCATGCTCACAACATCGATGTTTGCAGATTTGAAGGACATCAACGCATCGCTGGCTTGCGATATCAGCTCTGCGAAAGCTGGAGCGGTGGTGAGGCGTTAGTCTCGGCGGGATTGCAAGGCAGCAGTTGGCTCGGATTGATGACAATCTGCTCACAACATCCACGTTTGCGTATCTACCGTAGCTCGCGACTGGGAAAGCATGACTGGTGGTGAGGGGTGCAGGTGCTTCTAGGTGACTATTGAGCTGACTTCAAAATTGAGGGGAGCAGAGGTTTCTGGTACATGAGGTGCGAGACCAGCAGGCGGGGGCTCTGTGAATCAGATCGGACTCGCCCGTTGATCCATGGGTGGATGTTATTGATCCACGATTAAGTAGGAGCTGCTGCAGGATTGTCCTGTCTTGTGTTCTGCTCTGTGTGCCACTTGTAATCGCCTGGGTTGTTTCTCGGATGGATTGGAGGGCAATGCATGGGGCTTTGTGCCCGTTTGCAATACAAGTTGTGGTTCGTAGGTAACGAATCAAAATGTACATGTTCTTGTAGAGTACAGATGAGGCGCTGGCATCCTATCCTAAATATCACTACTGTGCAGATTATGCTGCTTTTTTATTCTAACAAATATGCTGCTCCAATGCCTACCTTGATCGTTAGCATCATGCTGAGTGCATATTGTTGGAAACAATTGATTTAGCGCCTCTGTCGTGTCGAAACACCAAGTCAGAAGCGAAGCGAAACATATCGAAGCATTAGCGAGTCAACCCTCGGAGGTTGAACAACTGCTGGAGGTTATGCGAAAGTCAAAGGTCAGCGACTTTTGACCTGACAAATATAGCGCGACAGCAAGGACAAACAACTGACTCGCTATTGAGCAGTTGCCCGAGTCGTCACTGTATCGAACCGCAACAGCAACAGCAAAACGGTTATTAACTGTATCTCTTCGTATTCCTTGTACTCTTATAAAAGCTTGTATCCCTTTGTTTTAATTAATCTACTTTGCCCTCACATACTAGCGCAAGGTGGTTCACAAAGTTATCATTTAAACGCTTCCGCTATTACATTGTCCTACTCATAATTTAGTCCTGCAAAGATCCTAAGGGATTTTCTCAGCCCAACATGGTATGAGAGCTATCAGGACAAATTGAACTACAATCAAGATACCCACAACATCACAATGCATGGCAACGCAGAAGGAGAGAAGCTCCTCTAACGGCTCTCCCGGTACTACTCCTACTCCACCTCCTGCCTCTGGCCTACAGACAGAGGAGGGTACGGCAACAAGACCAAGGGCAACGTCTACAGAAACTCCCGCAAATCAAGCCGCGGCCTTCGACCCAGACATGATGGAGAAATTCTTCTCCTTCATGTCCTTCTACGAACAACACCAACAAGGGGCACCTGCACAGTCAAACAACAGCAACAACAACAACGCAACACCGATGAGACTTGACGGTTCATCCTACGCACGAGGAAATCAGCAACAACCTACCTTCGCCCCGTACGAACCTCAGCGCGGCTCCGTCAGCTTCGTGCCACGCCAGCAGCCTTCACCTGAGCAAGAGAAGACACTAGATGCACTTCAAGTTCAGTCGCAGTTTGCGCACGTTTTAAAACTGCAGACGTCAAGACCATTCGACGGAAAGGACTTCTTTACCTGGTCATTCGAATTCGAACTGATGATGGAAGGCGCGCAGATTCTTGGCTTCTTCGATGGGTCCCTGCCATATCCAACAAACGGCACGCAATACGACAAACAGCAGTATACGTATCAATCTATGATGGCGTATACAATCCTACTGCACAACGTCACACCGAACCAGCAGCAGAACATTCGGTCTTACCGAGGATACGGAAACTCCGCCGAGCTCGCGT